TCCATCCATCCATCCATCCATCCATCCATCCATCCATCTATCATCTATCTATCTATAGATCATAACTATAGATCATAACTTCAGAACAACTGCAGCATTCTCATTTTGGTAGGATGGCTCCCTGCAATTTAACAGTGTCTGAGAAATTGGTGATCTTTCATCAGGAGTTATGGGACTCATTTCCCAATGATAGTATTTAGAACTGTGGGGCTGGGTTGCTATCCTAACCTAGTTTACACAGTCTAAAGAGAGTGTGTTTAGGGTTGTGGCAATGACTAGAAAGAAGGATGAAAGAGCTGTCACACTGGCTGAAGCCATGAACATTTCTTTTTGCAGAACTGAATAGCTATTAGAAATATTGATGATGATGGTGATGATAGAGTCATAGTAGTTTGCTATTAATACCTGCATAGGTTATTTATAGGAAACAAGGAAAAGCAAATGATAGAATAGATCACTACTTCTGTCTGACCTTGTAAAATCTCATAGGATTATAAATATGTCTGACATGCTAAAGTGAAAACTCAGAAAGAAATGGAGACAACAAAGTGCATTCTTTCTACTGTTTCAGTAGGTAGAAATTTAAAAAAAGATCCCAAAGGATGCTGAAACCTAGAGGGTTTTTTTTTTCAAAAAAGAAAAAAAAAAAGGAAATGTTAATATTCATTCCAATCCTACTGTTATAATCAGTAGGAGGATATTAAAGTGTTCAGCTTTAGCAAACCAAGCACCTGTGTTTAACTACTGACGTCTGCCTCGAAACTGGGAGAAAAATGACATTTGACCAGAAAAGGAGAAGGGTAAAATTATGGAGCATTTTATGAAATTGTTCCATAAATATAAGGTACAGAAAAGCCTGTCTAGCAAAATGCAGGGAAATCCTGCTCTGTGCTGAATATACCTAATTTGTTTCCCATCTGTATGAATCATATTACAGCTTTGCTCTATAAGCTTGTTTAAATGTTATTAGTTATTCCCAACAGCTTACAGTCTGCATGGGACAATATGTAACATACCGATACGATTTTCTGTAAAAAAAAAAAAAAAAGGCTCAGGAAGACTTCGTTCAAGTAACTAATTGTGTCACTGTGCATTTCTCTGCCACACAAAAGATAAACAGTCCATGTGAAGTGTTGTACAAGGCACACTTTAGTGAAGGTGACATATTTGTGATAGTCCACAGGAAAGATGACTTGCAGAGCAGTTATTATGCTCTGATATATGCGCCTCTTTCATCAAAGGAGGGAAAAATGCTAAGCACCACAGTCTTATTAAAAGCAATATATGGAGGAATAGCATGGACTCCCTAAGAATATGGAGATGCAAATCTGTCAAACTGAGGCAACCTTTAGCTAGAAAAATATACTGTTTTTTCTTGCATGTTTACATGGCGTTTGTATCTGGTGTTTCATTAAAAAGCCAAAAACCCTTCCATAAGCTATGTTAAAAAGATAATTTTTTTTTTTGATACAGACAACCATGGATCAGTTATCTGTCAAAAGATTTCTCTGATCTTACTTAAAATCTCTATATTGCTCTTTCTACAAGGTAGGAATCAAAAGAGCAAGACACCCTTTATCGGTTCTTTTCTGCAGTTCTTATGAAGATATTCCTTCCCACCTGCTTAAAGGAATTGTTTCTAAAGTTAATAGATGTTGTAGTCATTAGTTGGAAACTGAGATTTGCTATACGATCAGTGCCATTAATATAAATATAAAACTCAGTATTTATTGTCGCCAGTGAGGTCTACCTAAAAAAATTGGGAATGGGGTAGGGGAGACAGACATTAATTTACCTAAATGACCATTTTTATTGATCCACTGCTATTTTGCTAGAGAAATGTGCCAATTATGCTGTTTACAAAAAACAGGATTAAGACATTGGTCGAGAATATAGTATTCTTGAATTCGTATCAGTTAATTTATTTCTACAATATAATAGTCCAATATAACATCCATGTGCCCCCACCCCCAAGGTTATCATTAAGGTAATATAGAGGTTTCCATTATTCTAATCGGCTTCACATGCTCATAACTCTGCAAAATTATTCTCTTTGGCTGAAATTTTCCATTCTCATCCCAAAGGTGAATTTATTTATGTATGTAGAAAGCTTGAGCAGGAGCCATTCATGCATTTTTAAGTCTCACAAGGGTAGAAAAACGCTTCTATTATTCTATAAAAGCTTGATGTTTCTGCTTCCATTTTCCCTCACTCGCTACCTCAACTTGGCACATCTATTATTTCTCCGAAAGTAGAGCTTTGAAAATCAGTGTTTTCTAGGCTACTTGCTAACACTATCCTTCAAAATGGGTTGCCAGCTCAGGACAGGACAATGAAGTCCTACACAATACAACTCAGTGTTAATATACGAATGATGCCAACATTTTCACTGTATTCTAATAACATTCTCTGGGATATGAAGATAAAGATGTACTCTTCACTGATCTATTTTTAATGAGCCCTTACAGTTTCATAATTATCTTTTCTTCTTCTCCCTCCCGCCCAGAAATTTCTAGTAAATACAGGGTTTCATTAGTCTTCCTCTATGATGAGTTGTGTAAATTCAAGCTTTCTAGGAACAAATGTGGTGGTCATTTGAGGACAATCTCATTCCGATAGCCCGTTTCTTTTCTTTTTCTTTTAAGTCACTCTGTAACTATCTGGTTTTAGCTTATTATTCAGATTTCTATTTTGAGCTCTTTACAAAACGCATAACGAAAACCCAAGTATGTCACAGTAGAGAAAGGCTGTAGATTCTGTTTTGCTGGGCTGCCTGAAAAATATTTCTGTCGCCAAATATAAAATCAGTTTAAGCCCAGCCCATTTATGTTGTCAGAGATTAGATGCCAGCATTAACTCTGTTGATTCAGAAATAAGCAGCACAATAAGGGGATTTATTTCCCAATAATTTGATTAAAGACTGGGGCTGTGATTTTTAGATAAATGGACAGGAATCGGCTAGAAAGAGTGCTTAATATTTTTATGCCAAAGAGTTCTTTGTTTACTAAATTGGAATGGCTTTTTGAGAGCCGCTACAAAGGAAAATCCTGACCGGAAAAGGCTTGTGCTGTGTGTAAGCATAGACAATTCTGTGCAATTCATAATGAAAGCGAACAATCACGTTGCATGATTCCATCGTCAATATTTGCTGCCTGTCCCAATGCCTGCAATTTGCCCAAAACCTGAACTTTCAGATACTATTCACTTCAAAGGTTTTTCACACCTATAATTATGTTTGAAGTTATTAAAGTTATTTTTAAAAAATCCGGTTGCTCTGTTTTAAAATACCGTGCCAAATCAGTGAATATATTAGGCCAGCTTTAAACTGGCAAAAACTACTATGATATTAAAAACTCATCAATAACTTTCTGGCTCAGAATGTCTGTCAAGATATGACTTAGGTTTGTTAAACGATGGTGAATGATTTAGTGCATTATCATGATCAAGGGTATCTGCAACTTGAATAAATATAAATACGTAGTTGTGAGATAATCTAATTGTTTGATCTTCTACTGATATCTAATTTTGTCCTTTCTTGATAGGTCTTTGTCCAAAACCTGAGATGCACAGTGACCTGTAAAAGGCAGCAATCTTATATTATTATTATTATCATCATCATCTGGATGAAGAACATTAACTAAAATAATCCTACAGTCTCTACCTTCCATTAATCTCCATAACAAAACGTTCATATAGACAGATATATTAACATGCCTGTTTGTGTGGTCTGTTTCGGATTCTGGATTGAGTCAGTGGGAAAAAGTCTTCAGCTTATAAAGCTGCTACTCAAAAGAAACCCTCTGCCTTTCATAGGAGAGCCTGTTAATTATGAGTGAAAATGCCATTACAAACCCATGTGACTTAGACTTTTCCAAACTTTGTGCCTATTCTGATGGTCTAATTTATCTCCAGAGACACAAGCACCCACCTTAAATGAGAAAAGTGTAGGGTTCTTTCTAGCTAGCAACCAACCTACTGATTCACTTTCCTGAGCTGTGGAAGGGCAGTTTTCTAAACCAGTACTCAAACCATCCTTTCAAATGGATGTGCCTTATATAAAATGGTTTTGTTTAGGAGCAAAGTGTCACCAACAGATTTTGTCTTGGATTTGGGAAGAGAATGGGTAAGGAAAAAGAAATACTGTAACTGAATGGCTGATCTCGTTGGATAATCCAACCAGTACATATGGCAGCTACTTATATGTCTTGTCATAATTTTTAAAAAATCAGTTTGTAAGTAGGCAGTTTAGGTAGGAAAGCATAGCTCTGGCACCAGTAAACCATGTCTAATAGTTTGATTGGAAGGTATTATTAACTCAGAGAATATATTTGTTTATTGTTTCTAACACTGTATAATAAAAAGCTCTTCCTCATTTCAGTCATTGTGGCTTTCAATTCCTTGTCCCACTTCCCAGTAATTTCTTACTGATGCTTCAGCATGTTTAATATTTCATACACACACTCAGCTACACGATTTCCATTGGAAAGTAGATTTGAGTCATTTACATCGCATAGCGCTTTCTTCTTGAGTCATCATTAACATCTGTACACAATAAACTGTTACGGAAAAAATGCTGACGTTTATTTAAAGTCACAATAGAGATGGTCAAACTATGTTTTTAAAAGGGAAAAGCCATAGAACCAACTTTCCATGGATGCTATTACACATTTTAATATTTCCAGAATTTAGGTTGGCAGTGAGTTTCTTAGAAACCTAGTGGACTTACTTTTACAGTTGAAATTTTAAAATACATTGTATTTTGGCCAAGTGCAAGTTCTTTTAACATTAACTTGGTTTATTGATGTGAGGAATCCCCTGTAACTGAGATTCCTGCTGTATACTTTCTACTCTATTCCATAAAACCTTGGCGGTTGAATTTACAGTGACTGATTTCCTGACCCCAAATAAGTAAACCCCATTGAGATCAGCAGATATTTTTCAAGTGATATGAAGTCTGGATAATATTTTTGTTGCCTTAAATAGCACGCATGGACTTAAAACTCAATTCCTCTAAGTTCACCTTACTGTGGTTGTGCAATTTTAGAATGATGAACTCTAATTCTTATTGCCTTAACATAAAAATATGATATATTAAAATTGGTGGGATAGACTTCCAAATAGGTGATTTTCTATACAAAGAAAGACCTTTATTCAGTGAATTCAGAATTAATGGCTTATGCTATAATTCCAATCAAATCAGTGTGATTTACTTCTGAATATATCTGTTTGGACTGCAATGTCGATATAAAAATAAATATAGACATAGTTCTAGATATGGTAGAGTGCACTTCTATTGGCAATATTCTCTAATTCGTTATCCCATTGAATTTCTTTCTATTGTCTCCTTCAGGAGTTGACTTTCTTTCGTTAAAGCTATACTTTTTTACTAAATAATGTGATTTTGCTTTTGTTGATTAATAAAGATGAATATTCCAGTCTGTTTGAAGACCTGAATTTTAACTGGAAACTAGCATGCTTAGACAACACCTCAGTACGAAGAAGAAATAAAAAGGTTTTCAGTTAGAGATCATTTAGACAAATAGAGCTGGAAATTTGGTCCCTGTTCTTAGTAGGTAGGTAGAAAATTTAATGGAAAGTGTCAAATTGCTTCCTTCACACTTCATGGAATAATATTGATTTTTAGGGTAATGATAAGTTACTCCAAATCACTCATTAGATATTTGTTTGTGTGTAGGTGTGTCCTATATACTCTGTTCCATTCCTGCAGCTCTCAGAGACAGACATTATCAAGGAAAAATTAAAAACAACATACAATTCAAACTATTTAAACTCCAAAGCAATCCACCATGGGCAGGCCAAATCTTAGTGTCAACCATTACTCACCATAAGCCATGTTTTAACAGTTCTGTGGAAACTCGTTAGGGAGGCAGTGTTCCCGGTTTGTGAAAGCTGTTCTTCACAAAAGGTGGGCCACCCCTGAAAAGAGATGTCTACAGGGTACTTGCAGATGGGGATAAGACCATCAACAAGCCTTTTCTCCTGGATCTCATGGGATAAGAAGGCATTCTTGAAGATATCCAGGCCTGGAGCCATAAGAACATGTAGAGCAATCAACTTCCAAGCCCATCAGCTTATTTTCATTCATGAATTGGTTTAAAAACTGCAAGTAGTTTGTGGGACCGCTAAATCACCTTTTCCCTGTTTTTTAGCAGGGAAAAAAGAACAACGTTGCTGTTTGCACATATCACCAAAAACCAAGGAAACAGCATGAATGCAGGAGCATCTGAGGGTCAAAAAAGTCAAGATGGCAGTTGTACCACTATGGTAGAAGCCCCTCCCTTTTTGTGTATTTCAATGCACTTTGTATATTTTAATGCACTTTGAAAGGGCAGGGCTTCAATCTCCTGGTAACAGCTGTCATCTTGAAGTATTTGATGCCCCACTCCAGGGAGATGCCCTTCCATGTAGGACTACATAAATCAAAGCAATAAATCAGCTTCTTCTAACCAGATGCCCCTCAGCTACCTTGGGACTAGAATTTCAATAGTAAGATCCATATTGGCTGGAAATTCTAGAACTTGAAGACTTCTCTGGGGGGTATCAGGATGGGGAAAGCTGATCTGAACCGTTGAGAACACTTTTTCCTCCTTGGGAAATTCTAACAATCTCCAATATCTCTCTTTACTACTTTCAGTAAAACAATGTCAGCAGTACAACTGTTTGTGTGAAGTAAACCCTACTAACCCTAACCCTACTTTTAGCACTAAGTGCTATGTTTTCCTTTGTTTATTGTGCAAATGGTGGAGATTTTTTAAAAAATAGATTTGTGTGCTTACTACCCATTAATGAAAATCTAATGTTGGGTTGTTGTGTTTCTTTAATGTTTCTTTATTGTGGCATCACCAGAAGTTCATGTTGCCTTGAAACTAAACCTGCCGTGATATCTCCATGCCGCTTTGATTGGACTAGAAGGTAAATTGAGATTTGTCTTAGATCATTGTTCATGTCCCCTTTGAGCACTGCCAGATAACTTTCCATGCTGTACCCGTCAGGCCTTATCGAATGATTGCACTGATCCATCAGCAAATCAGAAATTCAGTCAAAGTAGTTCTGATCTGGCTCTTATATCGAGTAGTTAATGCAGCATTTCTTAATGCAACCATTTACAGTCTGGCTCATCCCTGAATAAGAAGGCATAGGATGTGGCTACAAACCTTAGGACTTAAATGTGTGCGCTTGGATCTTAAATAAAGTTGTTTGCCTTTAGCTTGGCAAGTTATGAATGGTCCAAACATTCTGGAACACTCTTGTTGGAAAATAGATCCCAAATGTTTATATGGTATGGTATGTAGCTTATTGTATAGCTTATCCAGGGCTAACAAATCTGGGCTTAAAAATCTAGATAACCATTAGAGGGCAGCAAAGAGATAGGCTATGCTCTGCTGCCATCTGGTGGTCCTCTGGATTTTGCAGCCCAAATCTGGTAGCTCTAGTTTAGAAGTACTTTCATAGCTTTTGCCTTTGGAAAAAATATAAACTGTGTCCAGGCTACGCTTGCAGTTGGCAGGGTTAATTACTAATTTCCTTCTGATTGGTAAGGAAAAAGTTAACGAGCAATAGTATTCCTCTGCCATATTGCGTTTTCCTTGGTGGAGGTACACGGATCTGAAAATGACTGAAATGTCCAGAGTGTCTGTAGGTTATGGTTGAAAACGTCAAGATGGCTGTCACAACGGAAGGCGGAGCTTCACTTGCGTCATCATGGCTGCCATTTTGACATTTTTCTTGACACCCCTGGAAATGTCTGACAACGGCACATCAGACATTGTGATAAAAAGATACGTTTCTTTCATGTCCATGTTTGTTTAGACAATAGAGAATTATATTAAAATACTGGAACTAATAACACATAAGTGGCAGCATCTGAATAACCTCACGTGGCTTGGAAGCTAAGCATATCAGGCCTATAAGTGCATTTACTTCAATATATGTTCCTTTGAAGTCAATAGATTTTTCTTGCAAGGAAGCATAATCTGAATCGATCTACATGGTGCTCAGTATCGTAATATGTAATCATCTGGTGAACCAGTACTTTTTAATTAGCCATCCAGAGTAATCCACTGTATTTGTGACAAACAGCAAGTTGGACTGAATGCTGACAATTGTTATTTTCCTAAAAATGTTCCTCTTAAAAGGAAAACAAGAGACAGGAAAGATGTCCTTGTAGCAAAATCACCTACCAAGTTGTACAAATATTAAAATGAATAATGCAATTTTAAAAACATATGACAGGTAGGCAGAGGATGATGTAAGAAAGGAGCATTATTCTGCTGAGTTCAAGGAAATAAGGTGTCCCAGGTCTCTGTTTTTCCTTGGAAAAGGGCAGTGGGGTTGGAATTACCTACTTCCTTTTTAACAGTTGATTTCATCAGCTCCATCAAGGAACTCAGGTTGCTGTGATGGGTATTATACTGAACATGGGCTGATCCTGTTCATTAGGAATATTTCTGCATTTATTTGCTCGTTTGCTTTCCTTACTTGTTAGAACTTAAATTGCGCTCCAGTCAGAAAGGACTCTGAGACAAGAGAACTCTTAACTGTTACAACTAAAATTACAGAAAGTTTTTGCGTCTGAGGAGCACTTAAACATCAGAACATGACCCCTAATGTGGGCTTGCTGTTCATATCAGTTCCACTCCCAGGAATCTCTTAAAAAGCGAGGTTTTAATGGGTTTCCTGAAGTTCAACAGGGTGGGAGCCTGAATGAACTGCCACTACTGTCTATATGTCACTGAGGGATAAATAGTGAAATTGAACAGACAGTCTCCAATGGAAAAATCAATACTTTATTTACTAAGGTAAGCCTACAAACAATATTCTTCAGAAACAAATCATATTTTTCTACTCATATTTGTCTCCTGGTGAGCACACTCTCCCTGTCTCTCTTTCTCATGCACATACACACACTCATGAACACGCATGGTCTCACACACGCATTCACTTGCTGAGAAAACAATGCTCCAAAAATGTGTATTAGTCCTGCTGTATTTTTGCATCTTATGGACACAAGTGCAAATCTGATGGGTAGAATATTAACTTGTAGAAGAGACATCCAGCATGCATTTAAATTCATCACAAACTAGGGAAGCCGCATCGAAATGTAATGAAATACTATTAATCACACTTCTGTGTGAAATATTCTGTAATTATACCGAACACAACCACATACAGCATGTTTTGTTATGGTAGTTTAACTAGATAATTAGAATTAAAGATATTCAGTTGTTGGGTATCATTTGTGGGTCTCTAACAGCTCTGCAAGAATTTGTTGGCTCTTGCTACAGAATTAACTCAAGTGGCCGGCATTGACTGTTGGGATAAAGAAAATGCAACTACTCCAACAAG